CTGGGTACTCATTTTATCAACCTCGGAAGGATAGAAGGCTGAGTCAACCTTGAGCTGGTTACCTGGGATTGAACCCGAGGTTGTGAGCACAGTTTGGGTTGCAGTCCAGCAGTTTAACCACTGCCCCAGAAAGCTCCTGTGGACCAACTTGTCAAATGCCATACAAGCAAATAGAAAACTATAAACAAAACATATTAAAAATGCATAATCACTACATATACCATGTAGAACGTGTTACAGCACTATGAATCTCAGATAACTAAGCTGTATATCATAATGGCCAGATCCAACATCTTCAGGAAGTAGGCACACTAGCTTTAATTCTGCAAACTGACCACCGCAGCCAGATTCATGACAAACAGCAAATCTGAGACTTTGAGGAATACGTAGTTTAGTCCCACACCAGTTTAATCCTATTTCTTCATCTGCCTTTAAACTGACCAGAATGACCTCTTTTTTTGTCTGGATTGTCATCCTGTTTGCTATGATCCAGTCTGTCACACACAGCTTCCCCAGTTTCAGACAGGAAAAAAGAGAGAAAAGTGTTATTAAAATAGTGGTGGCAAACTGGAACCCCCAAGGTCCGAGTGACCTCTCCGGGCAGTTTCATATTAAGTGTGAGCAGAGTACAGCACTGCACCTCATGCTGGACTGCAGCTCCTAGTCTCCTGCACTATTAGCTGTGCTGGTTAAGACTGGTGGGAATTGCAGCCCAGTATTGGAAGAGCCAGGTATTCCTCTTATGTATACATTAAATAACCTGTGGAGCAAGAGGGGTTTCCTTAGACCAGTGGTCCCCAACCTTTTGACACAATGGACTGGTTTAGTGTGTGTGCGAGGGGTGCATCTGTGCGTGTGTGTATGTGTACCGAGTTTGTCTGTGTGTGCATGGGTGGCATCCATGTGTGCGTGGGTGTGTGTGCATGCATATGTGTGTGCATGAGAAGGGGGCATGCGTGGGGGTGTGCATAGTGGGGAGATCTGTCTCTGCGGCCAGTCCTGCCAAGGCCATGGACTGGGGCCGGTCCGTGGACTGGGGGTTGAGGACCCCTGCCTTAGGCAAATGTTGTTGGTATCAAACAAGAATCTCTAGCACCACTTTCTGAACCTGCACCTCCCAAAACCACAGGAACCATTGTAGATAGGAAACCTGAAAGGCTGTTATATCTGATGGGATTGAAACCCATTTAAAGGTCCAGAAGGACACAGTCCCCCTGTCCAGTTTCCATTACACGTAATTCACCAAGGCAACAAAAGCAGTTTCTATCCTGTGAAATGCCTGAAGCTAGACTGAAATGGATCTAGGTAATTTGTTTCATTCATTGGCACTGACACACATAGAATGGAATTGCCCAGAAATGGAACACTAGATGCTGGCTAAAAATTATCCAATAGGGTAGAATTCAGGAATATATAAAACTCCTCAACTTTCCTAGGGTCATGCTATGATCCTTATAGTATGCAAATTGCAGTGATTTCCTTATTACTGAACAGAGGCCAAAGTTACATTCATGATTCCTGAATCAATTATGGTATCCAAATCAGAACAAATCTCAGGCATTGAAACAACAAATCATGCTGATTGGTCACAGTGGCTTATGGAAAGGTTTAAGATTTCTTCTTTTGGGCCATAATAAATATTTGATCACATGCTGTGTTAGCAAAGAATAAAAATTTCTTCACTGCCATTACCACTACATGTTAGGCCTTTAGGTAGACTTTAGCATGTGTTTGATTGGATGAACTCTGATTTTCCTACTAATTTCATTCTAGTCACTATCTGTTGGTTACATTGCTCCCAGCTGTCAAGAAAACTAGGACCCTTGTTTTGCTCTCCTGAATATGAGTGGAACAGTGGCGTAAGCTGTCCAGGCCATTGCCTCATGCAAGAGAGCAACCAGAGCAGCTGTCTTCAACAGAGGTGCTTAAAAAGTTTTATGCACAAAAACCTAGGTTTTCTGGGGAAATGTGATTTTTTCTCAGAAAACAAATTTGTCGCATAAAATCAACTTTCACCCCTCAGAGGTTCTCAAATGCAAACAACAACAAGCCCAGAAACTTCAGTCTCGTCCAGCACAGAGAAATCTTTTCACATTTTTGTACTAACCAATGAGAAGAAAATAATACAACTTTAATCTCTGGTAACCAGTAAAACCAAACCCTGATATTTGTAAGAACTATAGGAATGTGGATCCGAGTTTTGCTTTGGAAAATCAGCAATAAATAACCCACCATATTAATTTGTGTGTTAAAAAGAGAGAGGAATGTTTGCTGATTTGCAGGCTGACAAATACTTACTACAATTTTCTTCATCACTGCCATCAGGGCAGTCCTCAAAACCATTGCATCGGAAGCGACCAATGATGCAATGGATGCCACTTGCGCAGGGGAAAAAGGTGGAGCCACATTTAGATTTGGCTTTTGCTGTAGGAAAAGAACACAAAAGAACAAAGATTAAGAAATAATTCCAGATAAGAAGTTTGATATCAGGATACTTAGGTAAAGAATCTAATAAAACATGCCAACAGAATTACAGAAAAAGGATAGGTTACTTTACTGCAGTGTTAATGACACAGGTATTTCAAGCTTTACAACATTTCTAACCAATTTGAAGACCAAAGGATTTGTAGGCATTAAGGTATGAGCTGTTTCTCCATCTCCGCAGACTTCCAACAATTCTTACTATCATGTTTACCATCCTAATGAGCTATGACACACGTTTTCTGCAACTTCCATCTTGAATGGAAAAACAGCTGCTTTTTATTTTCCTCTACTACTCTTTCAGATTCTGTAAGGAGACAAATTTCATTAGTTTGTTATCATTTGTGCCAACTTTGCAAGTGGAGAAGGCATCTGTTGTATGTGTTTGAGAGAGTCAATCTTTTCCTCTCAATGTATGTTGAAAGATGGAACTGTCCTTCAAACCCACAACAATTCTTGACTGGGAAATATATAGATAGGTAGCTAAGTACTGTACTGAGACACCGGACAAGATTTGGTCTTTAAACGTTATTCATCACTTATGTAAAGGAAAGTTAAAGTTACACGCTTAGAAGCAATTTTAAGCATCATATGGTCAAGTGGAGCACTGTCTCCTGCATTTAGCTTTAATAGGCTAAAAGCACTCACCAGCATATTACATGCTATTTGTACAAAGTAAGTGATGGCAATTAAACACAAATTACGTTTCCAAATACTACAGCCATTTTTCGCAGCTGTCCCTGGTGACAACCATGGCTTCAAAGCCCCAGGGAAACAGCTGCCCTCTGTGCTTCTCCTTCTGGACTCTGAACAAAGTGATTAACTTTCTGCTGCAGTCCCACAGTACGTATGACCGGCTGATTCCCCTCGGTCAGTAATATAGTCATCAACAACATTCAGATTTCTGCTTCAGGCATTTAATCAATAAATAAAGTTGCTAAACTGAATTTACCACATGCGTACTTGCAACTTTGAGGGCCCAGAGCTATCCAGCAACTCTCCTGGAAATTACAAGGAGATCCCAGTCCCACAAACAGAACAAAATGAGAAGTGGGAGTTGTTTCATAGCTGCACAACCAAGGCATCTATATTTAAATATATTAATCACAATGACTAGATCGTTTAGAATATTTGTAAGATTTGGAGGTATTAATTGGAGGTAAATAACCCCAATGAATGGTTCATTAAATGATGTAGAAGGTTCAGTGCAAGTAGTTCTGACCTCATTTTGCTGCTGACACCGGCCGGCAGAACTCAAAGGTCTGGCCAAATCCATCAATCCATCCATATAACTTAATCCTTCCCCACCCTCAGAAGTGGATGCACATGACATTGAAATAAAAGATTTAATAATGTCAGGAAAATGACAGGAGCTAGGAGCACCTGAAAGACTCTTAAATAATAGACTAATCACAACTACATTGTTCCTCAGACAAGGTATGCTAATGAAACATCACTAACAAGATAACCCCCTCTCTAAAGGGTATTATTTGAAGAAGCAAAGCTGTGACGTTTGTTCAGGTTTATTATTATTCCATAATTATTCAAGCACCTCATATTTTCCCTCAAACCCCTATTCAAGATCCGTTTGGCACAGCATCAGGCATCTTTGAGATGTTTTTTCAGATTAACCTGAAATCCAAGCTAGAAGTTCATCTAGGAGTAAACATTCTACTCCTGGATTATGACAAATTAATAGATTCTGGCTAAAACAAATCCCTGAGATTATAAATATCAACTATCCATAAATAATATTATCAGTATTTTTAAAAAATATTTTTTTTAATTTTCCTTATAAAGGGATGGGGTACCCTCGGAGGGGGTGGATTTGAATGGATACATTACAAATCAATATTTTTCATAGTAATTCAATACATTCTGTTCTAGAAATAGTTCCACATATCATAAAGAAATATAGACAGTGCGTGAGAGCAAAAAATCAAATTCAGACAGATATATTGTTATTCTAATTATTGCTTATGTAGCTGATAGTCTTTATCCATCATTTATTCTGTCTCTTCTGCAGCCATGCAGATAACTACATATCAGTCCACTATTCTATCTACCTGGTAACCATGTATACAATTGTGACCAAATTTCCCAATGGTCTTTTTTCTTTTTTGCATCTAGCCAATCTGATAGTATGTCCATTTATGTGGTTTCAAGTATTTTATCTATCACTTCATCTATTTGTGGTGTTCTAGGTTCCTTCCAGTGTTTCGCAAAAACTATTCTTGCTGCTGCTATAATATGAATAGTTAAATATGATTTTTCAGATTCGAGTATAACTGGCAATATATTTAATAGGAATAGTTCTGGTACCATCGGTATAAGTTTCTAATATCTCTTGCAGCATCTGATTCACTTCACTCTAGTATCTTTGGGAGTCTTTGCACATCCACCACATGTGATAAAATGTTCCTTCTTTCTGTTTACATTTCCAACATATATTTGAAATCTGGGTGTTTATTTTAGCCGGTGTTGTGGGGGTTATGTACCATCTGTAGATCATTTTGTATATATTCTCTTTAAATACAACAGATTTAGTTAATTTTATATTTGTTTTCCAAATTCGTTCCCATTGATCCAGTTCATTATGTCCTATGTTCTGTGTCCATGTAATCATACATGCCTTTACCATCTTGTGTTTCAAAATCTAACAGAAAATTATATAATAACTTTCTACATTTTCCCTCCGATTCTAGAAGAATTCTGTCAAAAGAGGTATTTTCTAAGTAAAAGTCCTGTTGATTATCTTTAGCAAACTTTGATAATAATTGTGATTGCGCCCACCAATCCATATTTTATCAGTATTAACAAGCAGATGGGTTTGTTCTATTGCAAGCTGGTTATTTCTTCTTATTCTTATTCTTTTGAAGCAGATGTAAATAAATAAATAAATCTAATCAGTCATTCAATCAATATTCAATACATACTCTTCCCTGCCACCCAGAATCCTCATGAGTTTAACACTGAAGGCATCAAAGTGGTTTACTTGCCCCCAAACACAACGTCTCTAATTCAGCCTTTGGATCAGGGGGAAATAAGTACCTTTAAGGTTCATTATAAACGGTACAGTATGGAAAGGATTAACACTATGCAAGGAAACCCCGATAGAGAGAATTATCCTCTCTCTCTTTGTGTGCAAATCAACTATTTATGCTTGATAGTTATTTTTGGAGCATAAAGGTTATACAGTGCATGGCTTTTGAACTACACAGGGGTCTGGTGCCCCTAACCCCAGTGTTGTTGAAGGAAAAAGTATGCTTGTGTTTTTTATAGAGTGGTAAACACTACTACACAGGGGTCTGGTGCCCCTAACCCCTGAAGGGGGTTGTTGAAGGAAAAAGTATGCTTTTTTTTTATAGAGAGGTAAACACCCTTCCAAGGCAGTTAACATGATTAAGAAATAATAATGTTACACACAATGGCCCCGATCTCCTGCATGAAGACTTTCCTCAGTGTCAAAGTTATGTAACATAAGCAACCCACAGAAACCATATGTCTTGTTGAAACAACACCCAGAAGGTTTGGATGTATGCCTCCAGGGCTCAAAGCCAATTCTTGGTTGCATACCTCCAGTTACTAATTTATTTTTCTGCATAGTGACATGTTAGGCCCCTCAAATGGTTTGTGAGTCAGCAACTGGAGTCGAAGGGGTTCCCACAGGAAAAGCAGTGAAGGTAACTGTTCAAACATAATTTAAGACTCTATGCATGGTGAGCAAAAAGATGTCACTGCATTTCTGCTGTGACTAAAGGGAGGCAAACCATAGATTTTTATTAAATTTAGCAGGAAAACAAATCAGTGTCTATTGTTCCCATGTACAGCTATGAAATGGTACTTATATTAAACCACGGGCCATGATTCAATTCTAATGAGTGTGCTACAGTCAGTGAATTCTGTTTTCCTGTTCTTCTTCCTGGTCATATTGGAGGTGGAGGAAAATATGTGTCTCAGTATCTTCCCAAGTCATTTCAGCCCATGTACATAAGCATTCAAAAGTTATGTGTGTATGAAACCATGTCTTGTCTCACCAATGATATTCAATACGTGACAGAAGAGCCACACACGTAATATGAATCAGAGTCACACATGTATTTACCCCGATCTATGAAAGTCAGCAAGGAAGATGTAAGAAATTCAGAAGGTGGGGGGAATTTTAAAGTGGCTAAGATGCCAGAAATGCCAAACTTATAGCATCCAACTGGACGGGAATTCTTCTAGGAACTACAGCTAACGCCACAGTAGTGAAGATTTTCTTTAGCATTTTTTGGCTGGTAATAATGTATAAAGTGTTTTTATTAAGTAGCAGCCACAGTAACTCTTAGGCTGATTTAGCATCTTTCATAAACAAAGCAATATATATAGTTTTATTGCATAGACCCTTCACAGTCGTTCCTTGGTAGAACAGAAAATGAGACATATCAACTTCATGTCACTAGTACACCAAGTAGTATATTTTTCAGGGCAGGATCTAAGGACAGCTCAGGCATAGGAAGCTATCATTATGAAGAACAGAGGAGATAAATTACCTGAGAGCTACTACAGTGGGGTCTTGACTTGAGAATGTAATCCGTATTGGAAGGCAGTTCTCAAGTCAAAAAGTCTGTAGGTCAAGTCTCCATTGACCTACAGTGCATTGAAAACTGATTAATCCCGTAACAGCCGTTTTTGTTCCCTTTTGGGTTTTTTCTGGTCTGTAAGTCAATTCTCAGGCTGTAAGTCAAACCTAAATTTTGCGGCCAGAGAAGTCTATAACTCAAAGAGTCTGTAAGTCAAGCTGTCTGTAAGTCAAGGGTCCACTGTACTGTAAAGTCTTAAACCTGAAAGGCTGGAATATATTTTTTATCAGAAATGCTTTTAAACATTTCAAATTTTAAACCAAACAGAACAATGGCTACAAACATAGGGTCACACCAAGCTTTATTGTGTCATTCAGT